ACATTGAGGTCCCTGTTCTGTACAGTAGGTTCTCATTAGTTGTCTATTTTACACACAGTATCAACAGTGTATATATGTCAGTCCCAATTCATCCCACCCCTCCCCCTCTTGGAGTCCGTACATTTATTCCCTACTTCTGTGTGTGTATTTCTGTTTTGCAAATACGAGGTTTTGTCTTCTTGCAAACAGAAACTGACACTGGAACCACCTTTGTTCCTCACATGAGTGGAGGCTGACCTGACATCAAGTTATTAAATTCAGGAAGGCTTACTATCCACGCTTTGCAAGTAGGGTTTTTTGTTTGTTTGTTTGTTTGTTTTTCTTCTTCTGATATGTCAAAGTGGCAATTGAATCTATTACCAAATGGAAAATTCTGGGCTTTGTAAAGAGCAATATGAAGAATGTTTGCTGCATTATTGCTTGCGAGTTTTCCAAAATCAGGAAACCGCATTAAAGTCCTATCAGCAGGTACTAATTAAATAAGTCGCGGTACATCCACAGACAACGTGACACAGCCGTAAAATAGGCAGCTGGGCCCAGAACAGTCTCCGGGTTAATACACTTAAGTGAAAAAGTCTGGTATCATGCTCTCCTATTTGTGTCTTAAAATATAGCATGTTTTTGGGTGATTACATTAAAATGTAGAAACAACCCAGATGTTGGGGCAGATTTTATTTTTATTTTTTTGTTGGGGCAGATTTTAAAAAAAAAAACAGTCTATCTTTTTGCATTAAAAATGCACGTATTTTGAAAAGTGTCCGACTCCTTTCCCCCACTAAGAGGGTAGCTTGTTCCCTGCTGGACTCTGAGCCATTGGTGATGGTGTCAGAAGGAGGGTCCAAGATTCCTTTCTTCCCAGGCTCCCCGAGGCCACAGCTTTGCGGCTGGCCGCACGTGGTTGGAGATTCGGGAGAGCTGGTGCGAATTGGAGAGCCCTGCTTTCCAGTCTGTTTTTCCCTCAGTCAAGCAAAGCTTGGTTTCCATGTTGTTGTTGAAGAGACTTGGTTTCGTGGCCTGACTTGACTCCTTGAACGTGGTTTACCATTTTTTAATAGGAGAGGCTGCTGAGTGTCATGAACAGATAAGGCTTCTGGTTGTCACCAGCCCGCCTCCTCCGGTAGCCTCCCAGCATCTGGAGGGGCGGGTGGAGACCTCCTCCTGTCTACGCCTGGGTTTGTGGGAGGCCGCATGTCCTCAGTTCATTTTAAGGGCTGCCAAAAAAAATTCTCCAAAAATAAGTTGTTGTTATTTCAGTCGGGGCATCTGGACAATGAGAGGCCCCCTTCATCCTTTCCATGTGTACTTATCACTGATGTGGGTAGTTGTGTTTTAACCTGCTGTTTCACAGAGTGTGTGTGTGTGTGTGTGTGTGTTCCTTGTTGGATCACACGTTGTATAAAATGGTAGATGCCATGTACACACCGACTTGTTCATTAACAGAGCACTTAATTTAAGCCCTGCCTAAGGTAAACCTGCCTGCTTGGTATTTTTATTTATTTTTTCTCAAACTTCCCCCTACCCCCACCCCCCTTCCTCTCCTGCTGGGCTCACATTCCTAGGCCTTTGTCTCCGCCTGGTATTTTAGAAATTTTGGGAGAGGAAGGCAGTGGGTGGGGCGTTCTGGAAGCTGGGGGCAGGGAAGAGGGTGGTCACTTGCAGGGTCAGAGGTCAGGCCTGCTCCATTCAGCTGGGGCAGCCAGATTGTCGCCATGTGGGGGGGAGGGGGCGTGTCCGAGCATCTGCCCGGGAAGGCCTGGAGGGGCAGCTCGGGCCCTGGAATTCCTGCCGCCGGAGGCCTGCTCCCTCCCTCCCCCCAGAGCCACAGTTCATGGCCTCTGCCACATTTCTTTCTGCCTGTGGCCCCTCTGAACAGCCCTCCAGTTTATTCTTTCAAAATAACCTTAAATAAGCTGGTTCAGAGAGAGCGGCACCCACGCACACCCACGTGCACCCTGCCTATTCAGTGAGTCTCACAGGGCCCAAAACTGTTGGGTTTTGACCTTAGAACCTGTCAGGCGAGTGAGGTGTGGAGCTTTAGAATGGAGTGATGTCCCTCCAAAGTTTTACTCTGCTAGAAAGTTTACAGTATGTGATCATCACGTTTTTTGGTTTTAGATAGTGTATTCTTAAAAAAAAAATCAATAGTCGGCTGCGGCTCTGTGACAGCCTAGAGGAGTGGGATGGGGTGGGAGCTGGGCGGGGAGGTTCAAGGAGGGGGGACGTATGTGTACCTGTAGCAGACTCGTGTTGTATGGCAGAAACCAGCGCAGTATTGTAAGGCAGTTGTCTTTCAACTGACAAGTTAAAACATCAACAGTTGAATAAACGCATTGCTGGGGCTCTGCTTTTACCTTCCTTTAAAAAAAAAAAATTTTTTTTTTTCCATGCCACACAGCATATGGGACCCTAGTTCCCTCTCTGGGTATCAAACCCACGACCCCCCCCGCCTGCATCCCTGCTTTGGAAGCAGGAGTCTTAGCCACTGGACCACAAGGGAAGTCCTACCCATTGTTAATGTCACCCACAGCCAACCTGGAACTGCAGAAGCGCTGGCACTTAGAAAGTGTAGCATTTTAGCGCTACACTGATCCCATGTGAAACACTGTCAGATGGGGTCACACCCCAGGACCCCTACTGCCCATTGTCGAAGTGCTTCCCGCCTCCTGCTTTGGGCCTCCCATCTCTGCTAGGATCTCTCTTCTGGCCTCATCACTTGTAGATCCTGTTTATCTGTTTATTTCTGGCTGCACTTTGTAGCACATGGGCTCTTAGTTCCCCAACCAGGGATTGAACTCAAGCCCAGACTCTTAACCGAGAGACCACCAGAGAAGTCCCTGCAAGATCCTTTGAAACCCACCATTTGTGGGATCTCTTCCCCCGGACAATATCATTCCTGTATACTCTAGAGTTTGCAAACTTAAAAGCCCAGAAAAATCAGCTTAATACCTTGCAGTTGAACAACTGCACCTGGAGGCTGCCTTCCGGCTCAGCCCAGAATTCTCTGGTTTGTGGCACTGAGTCCCCAGAGATAGGGTTCCTGGGAGTTCTGGAGTGGAAGGGGTTTCCTGAGGTCCCTGGTCAGACACCACGTGCTCCATACAAGGAACTGAAGCCGAGACAGGTGACAGGATAGCAGGTCTCCTGGCGGGCGGGTGGTAGCGCCAGGCTCAGGCTGACAGCCTAAAGTTCTTCCCCACTTGGCGGGAGCCCACAGATCTAAAAAGACAGGCAGACACCAGCTCCTGTGGCCAGCCATGCTCCCCTGCCCCCCGCCCCCTGCCAAAAAAGAGGGTAGATCCTGAGCAGAGGTGAAGAGAAGATTGCTTAGCTGTTGGGTAAGAGGAGGGAGCCTTCTGCTGGGAGGTTTTCACACTTCACATTAGCAGGAGTGATCCCTTTATTCCCGTGACAAATGGAAGGAGCAGAGGGGAGTGATGTTGTTCAGGCCAGAGAATCTCTTTAGCAGAACTTCATAAAAACACAGAGTCCAGGGAATTTCCCTGCATTTATTTATTTAGCGTTATTTGGTTCAGATATCAGGCAGGCTTGAGAATTTTAGGTTTATCAAATGAGAAAGATTACATCTGTAAATGGCAGGCCTATTTCAGAAAGCCTTCACGCCGGCAAGTGCCTCCTGGATTCGACTTCTGGAGAAGTACCGCACTCCGACAAGTTACAAACCCGATCACGTTTCCTGCCTGAGGAAAGGGGGTCTAGAAAACTTGCCGGATCACAACCATTTCTTTCAAGCAGGAATTTGATCTCCTTAGTCATCTTTCCTTTTTCCAGTTCTTGGATCCCAGAGAAGAAGCACCTTAACCTCTACTGGGTCGTGCTCCTCTGAGTGGAGCGGCATGTTTGCCTGACAGCCGCCTGGGGGCATCATTTCCTAATGGACATGCTCCACCCACAATAAATACTGCGAGCTGACCCGGGCCCTTGCAGTGTGAGATGTGCAGTGTAATAGTTACTTCTTCCATCTCATGACACTCTGCTTCCAGAACCTCCCGGTCTTGAGTCTTACCGCCTCAGGGACACCTTGGCAGGTGGTTTGTGCCCTGGACGGGGTAGCCAGACCCCTGTGTGTTGGGAGCAGCCCTTGCTACCTGTGTGGCCTCTTTTTCACCTGGGCATTGAGTGCTGCGGATGTGAAAGCACCCCCACCCCCACCCCCAACACACAAACGGCTTCCCTGCCTGTTGGCTGGCTTGCCCTCACCCCCTGGTATAACAGGCAAACTGAAGCCCTGCTCTTGTAAGCAAGCCAGCAAACATTTACAGACAGGGCCAGCTCTGGGGAGGGATGCGATGGGACTGGCCCCGTGCCAAGGAGCTTTTGCTGTTGGGCGTTTATCAGCAGGTGGAGGTGATGCCAAGCCTTCTGCCCCTCCCAGCTCTGGGGGGCCCCAGGGCAGCACAGAGCATTGCATAAAAGCAGCTCTGTCAAGCACCGGCTGCCTCCCAGGGTCAGCTCCTGGGAACAACTTGGCAGGAAAGAGAAAGACAAGAAGCCGGCTGACTCTACCATGAGCCGCTGGCCTTCGTTCCAGAAACGGAAGCGCTCACCTTTGCTTAAATGCTTTTAGATGGAGAAGGTGGCAGCGGGCTGTAGTGGGTGGGTGTTTGATCCTGGCCCCCCGCCTGGCTTCCCAGCCCAGAGCCTGGGATGGCAAGAGAAACTTGGTGTATTCGTTCATCTCAGACCGCAGAGACGTGCTCTTGGAACTTTCTCTGGTTAGATTAGGATTAGGGAAGTCTCTGATGGCAGGAGGCTCATTTTGTTTCTTTGTTTCTTGGCCTTCCAAGCGGCTGTGAATGAAGCTGGAGTCGCACGGGGGAGCTGGTTGGTTTTCCTCTGTGTCGGGTGGAGGGGAGCGGGTGGTCCTCAGGGGGGACTGCGGCGCTGCCCCCGCCGCCCCCGTGGGAGGTGCGTGTTGGTCGTGGGGGTCTGCACGGCAGAGCATCGCGCCCGCCGTTAACCTGCGCCTCTCTGGTCCCCAGGTGCTGCACCTGTATTGTGACACGTGCTCCGTGCCCATCTGCCGCGAGTGCACGGTGGGCCGGCACGGCGGCCACAGTTTCGTCTACCTCCAGGAGGCGCTGCAGGACTCGCGGGCCCTCACCATCCAGCTGCTGGCCGACGCCCAGCAAGGCCGCCAGGCCATCCAGGTCAGTCCCTCACCCCCCTTCACCCGTCTCCCCGGTTCTTGCGGGCACAGGAAACCTTTCCCGCCCCCCTGTCGGCTGTGTGCAGGCGTTCGGGCCATGGGACAGTGGCCCAGATGCGCCCACGCGGCAGGCAGCGGCAGTCACATGAGGGCGGAAGGGCAGGGCATGGAGACCGCACAGTCTCGTGAAGATGACAGTGACGTGACTTGAGTTACTAGCTGCCCAGCGCAAGTTTCCCATCCAAGTTCCTCTGTCCTGCCTTTCCCCCACTCCCCGCCCCAATCCAATGGATATCAGCCTGCTTCTATCAGAACTGTAGGAAGATTGTGTCCTCACCTTGCTACCCAGATTGGTTTATCGGTGAGAAATCAATGAGCATGGGAAATTTTATATAAGGTTCAGAGTCTCAGACTTCCCTGGGAGCTAAATAAGGTCATGTAGGAAGGGATACATGTAACTTGGGGGCACAGGGAAGTTCGCTTACATAGGTAATAACAGTGCCACCTGAGCCAGCTTAACAGGGTTTTAGGAAAATAAAAAAATTGGGTTGTTTTCCTTGTCTGGTAGGATAAGCTTGAAAGTCAGACATTGTTAATGCTCGAACAGAAATCGAATAGGAAACTGTTTAGAATGTGAATTATTTTTTAAAATACGATTTTTGGGGGGAGATAGTAAAGAATCGATCATGCTCTAGGGAAGAATGGTTTAGGATTTTAGTAAGTTTCTCAGCAACTGTCACATTCCTGTGCGTGATACTGAAGTACTCTTCCTGATGAGTCAGGTAATCTGATATCCAAGGCACTTTGACTCATGAAAGTACAGCATGCTGGGAAAGATTGAGGGCAGGAGGAGAAGGGAATGACTGAGGGTGAGATGGTTGGATGGCCCCACCCACTTGATGGACATGAGTTTGAGCACACTCCGGGAGATGGTGAAGGACAGGGAAGCCTGGCAGGCTGCAGTCCGTGGGGTTGCAAAGAGTCGGACACAACTTAGCGACTGAACAACAAGTGTAATGTGAAAATTTCATAAAGGTTTTCCCTGGGGCCAACCATAGTTTGGATCAGGAATATAGTTGAAGCCCACTGACAACATTAAGGTGAATCATAGTTTCAAAGATACTCAGTGTGATAAAGATACAGCGGTAGTTCTCACATATGCTGTGGTGGGCTTTGAGTTTATCGGTGACACTTGCTTCTCTCTTATCAGGCCACTTTAGATACCTGTCATCAGGTCACCACTGTTCTCCGTGCAGACATCACTAATCGCTTTTGGCACTCTTCTCAGCGAAACCCAGATTTGGCCTCAGACTCTCCTCAGTACTAAGTGGCCGCCACTCAACAGTCAGCTGGCATCACTGACTTCCCTGCCCAGATTGAGATCCTCCACTTCAAGTGTTTGATTGAATCTGTTAACATTTGAAGACAACCTTTTTTTCCTCAAGTGCCGTGCCTGTTCAGTGCTCTTCCTTCTTTCCGCCCTCCCCCGCCCCCCTTTTCTTTCCTGCCTTCTTATTTATTTATTTTTTAGATGTTTATTTTGGTTGTGCCAGGTCTTAGTTGCGGCACGCGGGATCTTTAGTTTTGACGTGTGGAATCTAGTTCCCCGACCAGGGGTCGAACCAGGCCCCCTGCATCAGGAGCACAAAGCCTGAGCTGTTGGATCACCAGGGAAGTCCCTATTCTTCTTCTTTTTAAAAAAAAATTAATTAGTTTATTTTAGTTGGAGGATGACTTTACAATATTGTGGTTTTTGTCATACGTCGACATGAATCAGCCACGGTGCACATTTCTTTTTCTTATATGAAGTGTGTGTTTCTGTTTTCCGAGCTTCCCCAACCCTTTAATTCATCCACTGCCATTTCCCCCAACCCATCTGCCTCTTGCACCCTTGAAGTGCTCTGCGTAGATAGCGGGAACTAGTTAAGCAGGTCCCGGTCTGCACACCGTGGAGTGCAGTGCTTGCCTGGCAGTTGTGTAGGGTTTGGAGAAGAAAGATCCATTTGGTCTCTTCACGCCGAGCTTTTATGACTTTGGGGATGGGGACAACTCATTACAACCAGAGCTTTGCTCCCCTTCTTCCTGTTCTGGGCTTCCCTGGTGGCTGAGCTGGTGAAGAATCCACCTGCAGTACGGGAGCCCTAGGTTCAGTCCCTGGGTTGGAAGGATCCCCTGGCGAAGGGAAAGACTTACCCACTCCAGTATTCTGGCCTGGAGGATTCCGTGGACTGTATAGTCGCAAAGAGTCGGACACGACTGAGCAACTTTCACTTCAATTTTACCTGTTTGGAAAATGGAAGAAGTAGTTCCTGTCATCGGTGGGAGGGCCAAACCCGGGGGGAGAAGACTGAGAGCAGACACAGGCATGGTTGGCCCAGTCCTATGGACCAGGACGTCAGCTCTGTGCTGATTAATACCGAGCCCCTCTGGAAACAGGGCATACCCATTACTGATGTGCCAGCCCACCCTTGCATGGTCTGAGGCAGGGGCTTCAAAACGTGGGGGAAAGGACCTCGTTTCTCCCTTTGACTTCCTGTTCCCAGCAGCAGCTCTTTTCCCCTCCTGGCAGCAGAAGGTTCCAGTTCCAGCTGCTGCCACTCCCAGAGTGAGCTGGGCCCCGGGGTGTCCCTCCCCACACTTCTGGGTCCCAGGAACCCCCACTTGCTTTGTTCTCAGACCCCAAGGGTGGTAGCTGCTGACCAAAGTTACTCTCTCGATCCTCAGGGCACCCTTTGTGCTAGCAGGTCTCCACTTCCAGTACAGCCGAATTCCCTGCATTAAATCATCTCTGTTTAAATGTCTAGTGAGGTTTCTCTTTTTCTGAATCAGTCCTGACTGACAAACCTGAGATGTTATATCTCTGCTCATGTACACACTTACTAGATTGATCAGTCTTAACTTTTTCTCTTTGGGGTAGTTTGGATACATCCACCTATTTCAACTTGTCGGCTCCTGTATTAGTTTCCTGGGGCTGCTATGAACTGGGTGACTTACAGCCATAGGAGTTTATTTTTTCACGGTTCTGAAGGCTATAAGTCAGAAACCAAGCTATCGCTAAGGCTGTGCTCCTTGTGAAGACTAGGGAAAAACCTTGTCTTGCTTCTTCCTGCCTTAACTTGTACCTGCATCAGTTTCGGTTTCTGCCTCTGTCTGCACATGGCCCTCTGGGTCTCCATGGTGGCTTGGACAGTGAAGAATCTGCCCGCAATGGTGGAGACCCGAGTTTGATCCCTGTTGGAAAGATTCCCTGGAGAAGGCAATGGCAACCCACTCCAGTATTCTTGCCTGGAGAATTCCATTGACAGGAGCCTGGCAGGCTACAGTCTGTGGGGTTACAAAGAGTCGGGCACGACTGAGCAACTGACTGACTTTTCACTTTCCCCCATCCCTGTATGGTAAGAGTCGTGGATTTAGGACTCAATGCTAGTCTGCTGAGACCTCATCTTAAACAGTAACATTTGCAAAGACCTTATTTCCAAGTTAAGTCATTTCCTGCAGTTTCAGGCACATCTGAATTTTGGTAGGACGGTGTTTAACCCACTGCAGTCATGGGTGGGTGTTCTTTACTCCCAATTACATCTGAGCTGAGTTTTGGAATCTTGGGGTGACTTTGGAGGTGAGAGCCATCCCAGACCATGGATAGCCTGTGAGGTGTCCAGATCAGCTAGGTACCAGCTCTGATCCACTCAGTGGGTCCCTAGGCCTCCTGGGGATGTCCAGTGTCTGGTTTGGGGGCAGCTGCTTGGGGTTCCCTAGCCATTAATGTGTCTTCCAACTGAGAGCATGAAACGTGGTTAGTTAGGGGTCCCAGTTATAAGTGACTGAATGAATTGTAGCTGGCTGTCGTTGTTTGGTCTTTTAAGTTGTCTGATTGTTTTTCGACCCCATGGACTGTACTCCACTAGGGAATTCCCTGGCAAGAATGCTGGAGTGGGTTTCCATCCCCTTCTTCCGGGGATCTTCTTGACCCAGGGATTGAGCCCATGTCCCCTGCAGATTCTTTACTGCTAAGCCACCAGGGAAGCCCTTGTCACAATTGATTAGCTGAGAGCATGGTCCTGAAAATAAGGTTGGTCATGTATTGTTTGATTCTATTTGTGAGAAATACCCAGAATGAACAGATCTATAGAGACTGTAGGTGTTGGATGCCATGGGGGAGAAGGAGGGGAGATGGCAAACGACTGCTTCATGGGCATGGATGCTTCCTTTTGGGTGAAGATGCTGTTCTGGAGCCAGATAGTGGTGGTGACCGCACCACGTCGCATGTGCTGAGGGTCACTTGTGGGATCACATCTCAAGGGAGGAGGTATGGATAGACCTACTTACTTGTATGACGTGGCTAAGTGGGGTGAAGGGAAAGGATGGTTGCGCCTTTGTCACAGGGGTTTATCAGCTAGGCGCTGTTAATAATAGCCGTATTTGACTCCAGGCCAGGTTCTGGACCCAGCTTTTCCCATGTATTGTTCTGCATTTTTCTTATGTTTGCCCCAGTTGGAGAAGGCCAGGAACACATCTGAGACCTTAGAAACTAGTAGGAGGTGGAGTTGGAATCTGAAGGAACCTGGGTCTTTGAGCCCCAGGCTGGCCATCCAGCCTGGTTTACCCAGGGCGGGCGCCAGCCGTGGATGCATTCCACGTCCCAGAAAGCCTCCTGTGCCAGGCACACGGTTGACGACTCATTTGCAGCTGATCGCTGAGCCCAGGCAGGATCCAGACCCTTGAGGCCTCCCTGGGTTCTTCCTGATCTGGGCCACCTGCTCTAAAGCCAGTTGGAATATCAGCAGTCGGTTTGGAATCCCTGATTTAATACCTCAGTATCTCCAATCCTTGTGGCTTCTCAAGACACATCATGTAATATTCATGAAAACACTAGGCCTTCTGTCTGCATTAATTTTTTATGAGCAATACTACGTCTGATTAAACGGGCTGATTTACTGGGGGCTGGTGGTACAGGGTAGGGGCGTGGAGGGGGCAGGGATGGGCTCTGGCAAGCTGTGTCTGGCCACAGGTGTGGCTTCTCAGGTGGGTGTGACACGGTTCCCAGTTTGCACTTGGCATTGTTTCTGAGCTGCAGCCTGTGGCACGCCTCCCTCCAGGGATGTGCTTGGCCTTCGAGGTTTCCCCCAGGTAGGAACCTGTGCCGGAAAGCCTGCGGGAAGTTGCCTGCGTGCCCAGAGTCATAGATTTCACATCTGACCCTCAGTCCCCAGTTTTGGGCTGGGTCCCAGCTTCAGTGGTTTCACTGTGCTGGAGTATCTCTTTAACAATCCTGACATTCATTGTGGAGGTGCCATTTCTCGTACAAAGAAACCCAGCCCTTGGCCAGCAGCCCCTCCAGTTACCCGTCGAACAGAATCCCTTCTTTCTCCCAACGCCCACTCTCCTTTGCCAGGACAGGGACCACGCGGCCTGGGTGGGGGCCCACGGCATTCGTTTTTCAGGGCTGAAGAAAAGGAGCCTTAAGTGTTGCGTGTGGGGAGTGAAGGTCTTTCTCGTGGTCTGAGATTGCTTTTGGTTTTGCAGCTGAGCATCGAGCAGGCCCAGACGGTGGCAGAGCAGGTGGAGATGAAGGCAAAGGTGGTGCAGTCGGAGGTCAAAGCTGTGACTGCGAGACACAAGAAGGCCCTGGAGGAGCGGGAGTGTGAGCTGCTCTGGAAGGTAACTGGGGCCTCCCTACCCCTCCCTGGGCCGGCTCGGCGGCCGCGTGACCTCTGTGAGCCACAGCAGGACAGTGAGTGTTCTGATATCGTCCCCTGGACCCTGGCTCCAAGTGTCGAATAGTCTACAGGAAGATGCTGCTGCTGCTGCTAAGTTGCTTCAGTCGTGTCCGACTCTGTGCGACCCCATAGATGGCAGCCCACCAGACTCCTCTGTCCCTGGGATTCTCCAGGCAAGAACACTGGAGTGGGTTGCCATTTCCTTCTTGCACAAAGATGCAGGCATATCTAGACATTGCAGGTGCCCTCCAAGCAGAGGGACTCCTTTCAGAAGTAGTCAGGTCCCTGAGATTGGATGGTATCTTGGGTTTTCTTTTTTTTTTTTTTGCATGTGGGCTCTTAATTCCCCAACCAGGGCTGGAACCCGCGCCCCTACAGGGGTAGCCCTGGGAGTGTGAGACCTAACCACTGGACCACCAGGGGAGTCCCAGGAGGCTCGGGTTTTCTATTGCAGACACGGCAGAAAATTCTAGGCAGAAAGAAGGGAGTACAGTGGAGGCTGCCATCAGGAAAGCAGGCTGCTAGGACGCATCCTTAGTTTTGGTGCTCCGGCTGGTGGGACTTCCTGACCCCTTGTGAAAGCCAGTTTTCCCTTGTTGGGGGCAGTGAACGCCTGTGCCCTTTCTTCCTGTTGGAGCAGGAAAGAGCGCAGAGTCCGCTGGTGTGCTGTTTAGATAACATCAGCTGGAGAGATGACTCGCCCCGCCCACGTCCCTAGCAGCATTTTCTTGTCAGATCTTCCACCCTTGCTCAGGAGGAAAAGGGCAACAGGCCTGAGAGGGTCCAGTGCCTCTCGCTAGTTCAAGAGAAATCAGTCTACCTTCTCAGAACACATGACAACTATGCAGGGACTTGGCTGGTGGTCCACTGGTTAAGACTATACTTCCAGTGCACGGGGCACAGGTCCCCTTCCTGTTTGGGGAACTAAGATCCCACGTGTCATTTGGCACGGCCAGAAAATAATTGAAAAAAAAAGATGCCAGCAAAGACTGTACAGAGCTTATGTAAGTGGGTGTATTTGGGTGTGTGGTGCTTGTTTGACTCGTTGCATCTTGATTTCTTTCTTTTTAAAATTATTCATTTGTTTCTGGTTTGCGCTTGATCTTCATTGCTGCTCAGGGGCTTCCTTTAGTTGTGTGAAGGGGTTCGCTACTCTTCTCTGCGGTTTGGGGGTTTCTCTTGTTATGGAGCACAGTCTCTAGGCGCACGGGCTGAATTCAGTAGTTGCAGCTCGTGGGCTCTAGACCTGGGCTGAGTACTGGTGGTGCATGGGCTTAGTTGCCCCAAGGCATGTGAGATCATCCTGGATCAGGGATTGAACCCGTGTCCCCTGCATTGGCAGGCAGATGCCTATCCACTGGGCCACTAGGGCAGTCTGACAGCATCTTGATTTCTGAAAATGATCCTCGTCAATTTCCTCTGCCCTAAAACAGTGAATTGTGCTGGCCTTTTGGAAGGCTGCATTGGCTTCTGCGTTGCCCCTTCCTGTCCGTTTTCTGCCTTCTCTGGCCTCTCAAGGAATATGGCTCCGCTCCCTTTTGGCAGGAGAGTCCTTGGGTATAAACAGTCCAAGAGTTCATTCACACGGTTTATTCGGGCACCTCCGTGGGCCTGCCACAGTTTTCAGACACTCTGATGTTCCCCCCCAGTCTGCCGGTCCCATGCCACCCACGAATGTTAATTATAACTGAGAGGGGGCCCCCTTCTTGCAACCTGAGAGCTCTGTGGTGAACTCTGCCACAAACTTGCTCTTCTGGATTTGTGGATGAAAAGGCCTTTGTGTGCGGGGGTTTCTGCAGACCTCACCTTAGTTCCCCTCCCTCTGGTGGGCCCAACTCGCATCCTCCTTCCTCAAAGGGCAGTGCTCGTTCAGGGAGGACTAGAGAGCCCGCGCTTTACTGGAGGAGAAGCAGATTGGGAAGCAGAGTCTGTCTCTTCTTCATGTAAGCAGATTCTTGTTTACTTGCCTAAAAACTCACTTTTGGTTGACCCAAAATCAGCTTGCTCGTATTGGACACACAGCAGTCCCATTCATCTCTGCTTTCTGCTGGAGTACCTTGCCCCAGATTCTGGCGGAGTCTGCCTTCTCCACTGATTACTAACTTTTCTGCTCCCTCCTGCCTGTCCCCGCCTGGGCACCTCTGTGTATAACGTTTTGTTTTTGTGCATCTTGGTTATTGAAAATACTTGAGTGCTGGGTGACCCAGTCTTACGTGTCTGGATGCGTCTCCTCTTTCTTGTGACTTACATGTTTCCACACAGTTGAGGGATGAGAACCAAGACCCATAGATATGGTCCAGAGCGACAAGAGGATATGGCTTCTCTTTGGTCTACACCCGGGCCTCTCTGCACGCACGTCCTTTCAGAGTGGACAGATGAATGTGCAGGAATCGGGTTCAGAATCATGTTATCCACCCCACAAAGGGAAATCGGATTAAATCCAGCCCTTCTACCAGTGAACCCTTCTTCTAAAATAGACACTCTGTGTCTTTCAGATCAGTTAGGCACTCAGAAGTCACGGTCCTCTCTGCAGAACAATGCAGACTAGTCGGGCAGCTGGTTTGTTCTCTTCACGGAGTAAAACACTTAAATTTAGAGGAGTCTCAGGTTATTTCATGCGAAAGAATGGAGAAATGGCTGTTTCGTCAGTCAAACAAAAACCGCACATTCCCTAATAGCGTGGTTTGGGACCCTCGGAAACAGGACAGAAGCCGTGTTTTTACATACTACAGCATTTTAGGTTTAGAGGCCCCTTTGGAAATAATCCAGGCCAGCGGTTGCCAGAAAAGATGGTGTCTCCAGATCTGGTGTGTGGGGCCTCTTAGGCTCCCTGTTGAAAATCTCTAAAACCTGTGAACAGAGAAAACAGTGAAGATAGGGGACAGAGGGGGGATTAGTTTGTAATCTGGAATTAGATGCTCACCAAATCCTTCCTTTTACTTCCTCCACACACAAGTGTTCTCCCTCTGATTGTGTGTGTGTGTATGTGTGTTTATGTTGAGAAAGAGACAGAGAAATAACCTTCAAGAGACTTCAGGCCCTTGTGCAGAAGATTCAGTCTGTTGGGATTAAGCTTTGCACTCCAGTCCGTTGGGCAGTCCTGCCTCTGGTCCCATGTCTGCCACTTTACTCTCCACCTTTCAGGCTAGGGTCCCTGAAAACCCTCTGTCAGAGTCAGACCTCCCTCGGGAGTCTCCATCGCACTGTGTCTACCCTCTAACCCCTAGCACTCTGAATTTGTCTTACTGTCCTTCGTTGCTCGCTTAGTATCTGTCTTTGAGATTATAAGCACAGTGGGCTGAGGCGCGCATTTTCTGATGGCCACGTGTATCTCCAGCCCCTGATGCAGACAAGGTGCTCAGGAAATGTCTGCATCTGTCACATGGCTGTTTTTCACTTTTATTTAATTTTTAAAAGGCTTCCCTGATAGCTCGGTTGGTAAAGAATCTGCCTGCAGTGCGAGAGACCTGGCTTCGATCCCTGGGTTGGGAAGATCCCCTGGAGAAAGGAAAGGCTACCTGCTCCAGTATTCTGGCCTGGAAGATTCCATGGACTGTGTATAGTCCACAGGGTTGCAAAGAGTCAGACACGACTGAGCAACTTTCACTTCAAATTTTTAAAAAGTATTTTATTTGGCTACACTGGCCTTCATTAGAGCACATGGGATCTTGAGCTGTGGCACGTGAACTCTTTGATGCAGCATGTGTAATCCAGTTCCCTGACTAGGAACCTGGGCCTCCTGCATTGGGAGCATGGAGTCTTAGCCGCTGGACCACCAGGGGGAAGTCCCTAATTTCTAGCTTAGAGAAAAGTTGCAGGGATAATAAAAGAACTCCATGTATCCTTGATCCATATTCACCAGTTATTTACATCATGTTCCATTTTCATCAATGGGTGTGTGTGTGTGTGTGTGTGCACTAGAGAAAAGTTGCAGGATAATAAAAGAACTCCATGTATCCTTGATCCATATTCACCAGTTATTTACATCATGTTCCATTTTCATCAATGTGTGTGTGTGTGTGTGTGTACACGCGCGCGCGTGCATGAGCCGCATGCACATGCATGCAGTTTGAGCATAAGTTGGAATGTTGGCAACTCGGCACCTTTACAACTAAATGTTCATTTCCTCTGATCAAGGACATTCTCTTAATCAAAACCAGGAAGCTGAGGCTTGATACGACACTAGTTTCTAATCTTGAGTCTAGTCTGTAGTCAAATTTCACCAGTCGTAGTTTTTTTTGTTACTGGGTTTTTTTTTGGCCACGCCACCAGGCATGTGGGATCTTGGTTCCCTGACCAGGGATGGAGCCTGCACTGTCTGCAGTGGAACCACTGGACCACCAGGGAACGTCCCACCTGTAATGTGTTCAATAGCAGCATTTCCTCAGTCCAGGGTTAGTCATTGCATTTAGCCATGACTACAGGTCACAGGTCTCTGTAGTCATCGCCTGTGACCAGGGAAAGTTCCCCCGCCTTCCTCTGTCTTTGCGTTTTGCTAGGCTGGGGGCGTGGAGACCAGTCATTTCTGCAGCCCCTCAGTCTGAGGTTTCCCTTAGTGTGTGAGTCTGTCAGCCGATGCATTGCTTTCTGTCTGTCTTCTAAGCCTCTGTGTCCTCTCTTCTGGCTCTCGCCTTTCTCTCCAGGTAGAAAAGATCCGCCAGGTGAAGGCCAAGTCCCTGTACCTGCAGGTGGAGAAGCTGCGGCAGAACCTGAACAAGCTGGAGAGCACCATTAGCGCCGTGCAGCAGGTCCTGGAGGAGGGCCGGGCGCTGGACGTCCTGCTGGCCCGCGACCGCATGCTGGCCCAGGTGCAGGAGCTCAAGACCGTGCGCAGTCTCCTGCAGCCCCAGGAGGACGACCGGGTCATGTTCACACCCCCCGACCAGGCCCTCTATCTCGCCATCAAGTCCTTCGGCTTCGTCAGCAGCGGGGCCTTCGCGCCGCTCACCAAGGCTACGGGCGACGGCCTCAAGCGGGCCCTGCAGGGGAAGGTGGCCTCCTTCACCGTCATCGGCTACGACCACGATGGGGAGCCCCGGCTGTCGGGGGGTGACCTCATGTCGGCCGTGGTCCTGGGCCCCGACGGCAACCTGTTCGGCGCGGAGGTGAGCGACCAGCAGAACGGGACGTACGTGGTGAGCTACCGGCCACAGCTGGAGGGGGAGCACTTGGTATCGGTCACGCTGTGCAACCAGCACATCGAGAACAGCCCCTTCAAGGTGGTGGTCAAGTCCGGCCGCAGCTACGTGGGCATCGGGCTCCCCGGCCTGAGCTTCGGCAGCGAGGGCGACAGCGACGGCAAGCTCTGCCGCCCGTGGGGCGTGAGCGTGGACAAAGAGGGCTACATCGTGGTGGCCGACCGCAGCAACAACCGCATCCAGGTGTTCAAGCCGTGCGGCGCCTTCCACCACAAGTTCGGCACGCTGGGCTCCCGGCCGGGGCAGTTCGACCGGCCCGCCGGGGTGGCCTGCGACGCGTCCCGCAGGATCGTGGTGGCCGACAAGGACAATCATCGCATCCAGGTCTTCACCTTCGAGGGCCAGTTCCTCCTCAAGTTCGGGGAGAAGGGCACCAAAAACGGGCAGTTCAACTACCCCTGGGATGTGGCGGTGAATTCCGAGGGCAAGATCTTGGTCTCAGACACGCGGAACCACCGCATCCAGCTGTTCGGGCCCGACGGGGTCTTCCTGAATAAGTACGGCTTCGAGGGGGCTCTCTGGAAGCACTTTGACTCCCCGCGGGGCGTGGCTTTCAACCACGAGGGCCACTTGGTGGTCACCGACTTCAACAACCACCGGCTCCTGGTCATCCACCCCGACTGCCAGTCGGCCCGCTTCCTGGGCTCCGAGGGCACGGGCAACGGGCAGTTCCTGCGGCCGCAGGGCGTGGCCGTGGACCAGGAGGGGCGCATCATCGTGGCCGACTCCAGGAACCACCGGGTGCAGATGTTTGAATCCAACGGCAGCTTCCTGTGCAAGTTCGGCGCCCAGGGCAGCGGCTTCGGGCAGATGGACCGGCCCTCTGGCATCGCGGTCACGCCGGACGGGATGATCGTCGTGGTGGACTTCGGCAACAATCGAATCCTTATCTTCTAATCACGTTTCCTGGGCTTCCGTGTTTGGGGTGCGCGTGTATCCATCTCTTCTCTCCTGTCTCTTCTCCCCGCCTTTTGAATTTCAAAGAGGAAACTGTCTCAGGGAAAAAAAAAAAATTTTTTTTTTTTTTTTTTGCTTTTGTTTGAAAGACAACAAGAAAAGTACAACATTGCTTACGTCCTACCTCATCTTTATTTTTTTACAGATGAATGTACTTATCTTTTCTGCAGGGATTGAGCCTGTGAAGTGATATCTCTATCTACCTCAGTACCCTTTTACATTTCCTTCTCCGACAGGCCCTCGCCCAGTGGGGGCTTCCCTCCCCCTCCGTGGGGTGTGACACGCACAAGCCTAGCATCTCTGTGGCTGAGGGGGCGGGCACTGGATGTGTGCGGTGGGTTGCATTCTGTAGATTTGAGCCAAGGAAACACGAGAAAACTACTAAGTAAAAAGAAAAAAAAACTATAAAACATGGGAAAATAGATTTAAGATGCTTAATTGTAGAGTATTTGTGTTCTTAAGAATACTGTGTTTATGGGGTTAGGTTGTGTTGTGTGATCTTGATCTTTATGGGAAAAAATCTTTTTTTCTTCTTTATTTTTTCTTTCTTTTTTTTTTTTTTTTTAATGCTGCAACAGAGAACTTTCCTGCGTTCTCCTTTTATACCTCAGTGTGTTTCTCATCCTGTTCGACATCAGTATCTTTTCTTACTCCTAGAAGATGTGGCTGTGGCTTGCTAGCCGAGAAAAGCAGACCATTCCTATTTTAGGGTATGCAATCTTTATTTCTTCTGAGGGAGGGGGTGTGTGTATGTGTGTGTGTGTGAGAAAGAGTGAAACCACCTTACACCAATATAGCAAAATAGAAAATGCTATGCCACCTCCCAAAGAACTTTTTTCTCACACTTTGGTTTCTGATAAATAGATGTAGTTCCAGGCTTTTTGATTAAAAGTATTCTCAGAAGTTAAGTGATTTTTAGTCTGCTGTTGGTTATAAAGAACTCATTAGAAGGAAGAAGAAAAGTCACCTCCTACTCAGAGTGAGGATTTTCAGGCATGGACTGGAGTGTGGATGTGAGTGGGTGGCGTGCATGTGGTGAGTCAGGAGAGACATAAGACCCAAGCAAGGGACCCCCAGACTGTGGTTGATTGTAGTTCTCTTAATACTAGGCGTTCTCCTAAGACGAGTAAGCAAAGGAATGAACTTTTGTTTTAAAAGCACAATTTTTTCCTGCTTCGGAAGTTCAGGGAGATGGAATGATTGCGAGGCAAGTAGGAACAGCCCACTCCCACACCCTGTCCTCAGCTCAGCTTCACAGAGCAGTCTGCTCCTGAGCCATGGAACGTGGTTTGTTTTCCCCGCAAAGGCCTTTGAATGTAAAGGGTTTGTAAGCCAAAATCGCCCCAACCTGGAAATCGTATAGGACAGAATACCTCTTGTTCAACCAAAGAATGAAGATGTATGAAGCCAGTCTCCCCAGCTGCGGAACCATGAGATGGCATCTGTCACTTTACAGGGCGGGTTTGTCAGAAGCTGGACTTGGGTGCAGAGCCTTGTGCTTCTGAGTCTTGGCCGTCTTGGAAATACTGAAATGAGAACCAAATTCCAGAGGGGCACCAGAAAGAGGTATGCCTGGACGGCAGTGCCGTCTAGAATCTGTCCCCTCACAGATCAGTGTCTGGCCCTGTATTGAAAAGAAATTCCTCTTGCAGTATGGCTAGTGTTTTTAACGAACAGAATAAACTAACAAACGGAACAACTCTTGTTGTTCCCAAAGAAAAGGAGATGATGGGAAATAGTGTAGCCAGCCAATCAAATTGCTTTTCCCATCCAGCTTTTTAGGACATTTACCACATTGTGGTCCCCCGTCTCTTCCCATTGCTTTAGTTGTGAGGTTTCTAAGTGACCAAAATGGGGGAATCCTCGTTCCCTTAAGGAGAACCACATGCAATAAAAGATCCCCTAACTGGAAAGTAGCTTCAAACTGCTGGCACCCAGATGCAGTGTGGCTGGGTAGGGAGGTGTCAGGAGACTTTGTTCGGTAAAAGCGCCTCTTCTTTTATTGAAGAATTTAATAGTGATTCCCTAATAGTGAATTCCCCTCTAATTCCTATTCATTTGTCTTTTATGTTGTCCCTAACTTCTCAGTTCTTTGGTAAAGAGCACATGTAATTAAGCATTTTTATTGTTTTTTTGTTTTGTTTTGTTTTGGAATAACTTGGTGCTGATTCTCCTTCTCAGTCCTCCTGCTCCCCCAGATAATCACCAAAGACAACTGATTTTAAATGCTTAATTTTTTTTTCGTTATGGGGGGGAGTGGATCTTGAAAATTCTTTCAAATGTTCTCTGAAACTCAGGTCGTGATTATGGTTAGGCTGAGTTGTTTGAGGTAGTGACTACCTTTGGTTAGTCTATCTTTGGTTTCATCATCTTCCCTGTCACCTTTTCTTCCCAGTTTCCCCATTTGTGGGGAAATACTGGGACCTGAGTGAGAAATGTACTTGGTGAGTGGCAGTAACTCACGCTGCTTCTCTAAAGTTTATCTGTGGATCTGGTTGTGAATCCAGGGTTTCCACACGGCTGAAATGACCAGGGCTTCATTAATAGACTGTCCAGTGTGCAGGCTTAAAGCAAACGGGCCCCTCCCCGAAGCGAGCATGGAGCGGGCGTGACCCAGCCTCTTCACTCTTTGTAAAAGATACATCTCCTTACCTTGTCTGCGCCTAGGATTGTGCATCACCGCCATTCAAGAAACATGTCACACTTGGGGAGCTTTTGTTTGTGAAACACTGCCGTCTGTGGCTGCCCCCACTTGACTCCTGACCCACAAGGGTTGGTGCAAAGCACTCGGAGTGTGCTGCTCCCGCGGTGTGGAATGCTCCGGATCAAAGAGTCAGGAGAAAGGCTAGCCTTGGGACCTCCCTAGAGTGAGTGAGTCTCTTCACAATAAGCATTTACCAGTGCAGGTCTCCTGCCCCTTAGGAGGTGATACTAGGGTAGCAGGAATTGGGTCCAAGCAGGAGTCCGTAACGTGGTGTAACGATAGGGTTCCTGGGTGCTGTGAGGGGGAAGGATAAAATGTTTCTGTTGAGGAATATGATGCTGAGACAGTAATCCCCGTGTGTGTCTGATCTGGTCAGGGTATGGGGTGGGGTGTAAGGTCAGTATATGGTTTGAGATGCCAACTGGATTTAGATGTACAGGTTTAAATATTGCAATGGCTAAAGGAAATCTAAACAACCCACAGAGGCAAGCCACTTTTGGTTGACACCGACTTGGCATTTCAGAAGTATTACTGGTGTTTGGGTTTGTTTAGTGGGTTTGTTTTTTTATTTTTAATACTGGGTTGGCCAAAAAGTTTGCTGGGGTTTTTCCGTAAGGTGTGATGGAAAAACCCAAACGAACTTATTGGCCAACCCAGTAATTCCTGTGTGAATTTGGTCACAAGAAGCAGTACTATCTCAGCCTGTGCTGTCTGGTGGCTGGCAGTTGGCACTCGAGTTGGCTGGAGCCCAGTGGCCCAGACAGGACCCCAAGTCCACTGACTCTTTGACTGACAGAACCCTTTTAAGTCTAACTTATTTGGGGAATCACAAGATTAGGGTACCATAAACAGAATCTAAATTACACGCTGGGCCAAAAACAAGTTGCCAGAATTGAAGGCACTTTGAAATGCGGTTGTAAGAGAAGACCGTGAGATTGGCTCCATCTGCTTTATTCTAGTTAAGCCAAAGCTTAATGATTAGAGGAGGGAAGTCTTACTGTCTTCTGTGTGTTGTCTTCCTCTCTGAAGATCTTAAGACTGCTGTGTCCTGGTAGATAGCGAAAGATATGCCAAAGTTATAGGCTGGTTTTGTTTTGTTCTGTTTCTGTTTAAAAAAAAAATCCGATGGTGCCAAAAAGTATTTATTTAAGACATCACTCTTACTGAGTTTCCAACAGTCTGGGGCTGTATAAAAAAGTCTTAATACTTGCGTGTGGTGAAATCGCAGAACCTGGCCCTCCCCATCTTCTCTGGCTGTTTGTAGGCCGGGGCATAAAACACAGACAGACACAGAAACACACACACCCACCCACCCACTCCACTCCACACCGTCTGCTTTTGTGTCGTTTCTACCTCACTTCTGGCAAAAAGTCATCTACCTCACACTAGCATCTGACGGGGTCTCTGAATAGTATTAATCCACCGGGAGTGGGTGGGAGCAGGGAGCTACCTCGAGAAGAAAATGTTTTCATAATTCCAGAACTGACTTCTCCCAGGAGAAACATTGGACCGACCTTGAAAAAGAAACCTGGAAACCAAATCTTCCTATACTCATGCAGAACAGAGTCCTTCAACCCAAATATTTCTTAGCAATCTGGCTTTTTTCCCCCACCAGGAGTTAACGCACACCGTTATCACGTTCAGAGTCCTGAAATCACGGGTACATCTGACCTGTTTGAGGACTTAACTGCAAATGAAGACCTTTAGGTCTTTTCTCTTTTTTTTTCTCTCTCTTCAAGAGAAAAAATATTTTATCTGTATTTTGAATGTCTACAAATACAGCCTTTTAGGAGCAATTCTAAGGGTCTGGTTGTTCAGAACATTACCTATTGGAAGGGAATGAGCATCCTTTAGACCTCGTGATTGTATTTATACCGTTTCTGGACCCAGCATGCCTCACCATGACATTGCAACAATCACTGTCTGTCTGAGCAGTGATGGTGAAGGGTATGTCACTCTTTTGTTCTGTGTTGTTTTTTTTTTCCCCTACCAAAGGTAACACATTCTTTGATGGGTAGTTCTTTTCCTTTGCTTGTTGATTAAATACTTGATAAAATTGAGAAGCACATTACCATGAGAATACTGTATTGCCTCTCCACCTCTCTTCCTCCCCTCGCTTAAATTTTTGTTGCAGTTTGGAAGAGAGGGTCCTGAAGACCACTGTCATTATCATGGATTTGGTTTAAAGATGTCATGGTGAAGAAATACCTCAATGATGCCTATTTTAAAAACTGAT